AATTTATAATTCAAACTAATACACTCACATAGGGCAAGTTACTTTACCTTTACAAATACATGTAGATAATTCACAAATTTGAGATCAAATTTTACGCTGTATTTCGGTCCATCTTGAACCATCATAACTTGATAACTGTACAAGATGGTCCAAAATGATGTACTGTATAACATTACCTATCCAGTTTTTGGGATAGTCGCGAATTGTTCCAGCCATATTAATGTGACTTTTCTGGACTTTGTTTTATAAATAATATTGGTTCAGATTTAATGGAAACCTCTGGTTTTGTGATGTTTGCTGTGAATGCTATTATTATGCAATACCTAAATAACAGAAATATAGTAATAGAATACAGGTACTGGATGCAACCATCCACCAAGAGGTCTAGAACATGCAAGATAAAGATAAGAAGTAGGCAGACATAATTGGTGCAAGACCCGGAGATCCCATCATTAAAAACGTCTAAAGTTACACACATCTGCACTTACAAATAGAATGAATAAGTCTTCAACTGGTGAGCTGCAATATTAATGTGTGTGTGAAACATAACCATCTTTTACCGTATTGTATTTCTACATTTACAACTCATTTGTAAGCTAAATATTAGGAATGCAATGCATTTGTAAATTGGGAACAACCCATACAGTAATCATTACCTCAGGATTATTATATTCTTAAGAAAGGAACAACGGGGCAGAAGCGATGAATAAAACTACTGTATTTTCTAGAATATTTTTTTGATTACAAGAGTTTGTTATGGTGAGAATGTAATGTGTTGTGAACCTGCTGGGCTGATTTTTATTATTTGTTAATGAAATGGATGTGTGTATCTAATTGTTGAGAGGAAGATTCTGTTCTCTTATATATACTTTGCAGTGAGGATGAAGAACATGCTCTCATTTTCATACTGTGTATTTTTTTAATAGATTGAAATTTAATAAAAAAAATACTTATGAAAACTTTTATCTTCCCTAAATAATGAAAACTTTTATCTTCCCTAAATAATACAATGGACCCCAGTTTACGATATTATTTCATTCCAGAAGTATGTTCAGGTGCCAGTACTGAACGAATTTGTTCCCATAAGGAATACTGTGAATTAGACTAGTCCATTTTAGACCCCCCAAACATACACGTACAAATGCACTTACATTAATACAATTACATAATTGGTCGCATTGGGAGGTGATCGTAAAGCGGGGGGCCACTGTATATCTAATGAATAGTATTTTGTTTCATACATTAATATAATCCTTATTTAAGCTTCAAGCTGCAAGCCTTTATGTATAAGGCATGAAGATAAAGGCATGAAGATAAGCTGGCAGTAATATCACTCTTTTATTGTACATATAGGAAAAATAATGTTAATGGTATTCATATTTTGGTTATAGAAAAAATATTGTGAATTTTGACCTGAGAATTGGAGAAAGGTGTCTTCAGGCGTATACGATCTAACCAATCAAATTCAGTTTCTCCAAATGTAGATTCTACAATGATGGATAACTCCTATTTATCACTTTTATTTTACTATAATGGAAAGACTCCAATTGTACATGCATTTAATTGTAGGACGATGAATCATCCAATTCAATGCTTAGCCGTTAAGTTGTTGCTGGATATTAAATCAGCTGACACCAAGTCATACTACCTGACATCAGGTCATACTACCTGACACTGGGTCATAATGCCTGACACCAGGTCATACTACCTGACATCAGGTCATACTACCTGACACTGGGTCATAATGCCTGACACCAGGTCATACTACCTGACACCAGGTCATAATGCCTGACACCAGGTCATAATGCCTGACACCAGGTCATACTACCTGACACCAGGTCATACTACCTGACACCAGGTCATACTACCTGACATCAGGTCATACTACCTGACACTGGGTCATAATACCTGACACCAGGTCATAATACCTGACACCAGGTCATACTACCTGACACCAGGTCATACTGCCTCTACAGTATGGATTATATTATTATTACAGAGACTTTGTGGTTTAGTAGTGATTCTCTGCATATTGTGGGATTGTCTATATTACATTGAGTTATAAAAAGCAATGCACAAAGCATCTCATTGTTTGAGGGTTTAGCACTTACTGATGATTATAATAATAATTATGATTACTGTATAATAAGTGCCTAGCAGTCACAAGGCCTTACATACTAACAAGGTCACACTTGTACATTTGGCTAGTGTTCAGACTTGTCAAACTAAATTATATGGGTTTAGTCGGCGCTGTATAACCCTTGTAGGTCTAGCGCTTCTTTTTTATTATAATAATATGGGTTTAGTACTGTTTTTCCCACCTCAAAGGAAGCACCTTGATGCTGCGACTCGTACTCCAAGAAACTGTATTTATCCTTCCTTTCAAATCTCCAGACACACTGACCCTTACAGATTTAGTGCATTCTCTAAAATAAATGTGATGGTGAGAACGGCAGGTGGTAGTTCTCCCACAAAGTACCTGAACCTTGACCACCACCTCCACTCCCATGCTTCACTACGTCCATCCCTATCGAAGTGCTCTTGATACAGGGAATGGGAGGTACCCTCCCCTTTCCTGGTTTAAACCAGATTACCTCCCATCCCCAAGGTGCTGTACGACCTACTATGTGATTCCCCACAATAAATGTTATATGTGCATTTGGGTTCAGCCAGTGCTGCATGACCCTTGTGGGTTTATTGCTTGGTTATGATTATTATAATTTTGGTTCAGAACTTACTATAGATATATTAATATATGTGTAAAACATAATACTCTGAGGAATAAGGAGTTTACCTGGAGAGAGTTCCGGGGGTCAACGCCCCCGCGGCCCGGTCTGTGACCAGGCCTCCTGGTGGATCAGAGCCTGATCAACCAGGCTGTTACTGTTGGCTACACGCAAACCAACGTACGAGCCACAGCTCGGTTGGTCAGGAACCGACTTTAGGTGCTTGTCCAGTGCCAGCTTGAAGACTGCCAGGGGTCTGTTGGTAATCCCCCTTATGTATGCTGGGAGGCAGTTGAACAGTCTCGGGCCCCTGATACTTATTGTATGGTCTTTAACGTGCTAGTGACACCCCTGCTTTTCATTGGGGGGATGTTGCATCGTCTGCCAAGTCTTTTGCTTTCGTACTGAGTGATTTTCGTGTGCAAGTTCGGTACTAGTCCCTCTAGGATTTTCCAGGTGTATATAATCATGTATCTCTCCCTCCTGCGTTCCAGGGAATACAGGTTTAGGAACCTCAAGCGCTCCCAGTAATTGAGGTGTTCTATCTCCGTTATGCATGCCGTGAAGGTTCTCTGTACATTTTCTAGGTCAGCAATTTCACCTGCCTTGAAAGGTGCTGTTAGTGTGCAGCAATATTCCAGCCTAGATAGAGCAAGTGACCTGAAGAGTGTCATCATGGGCTTGGCCTCCCTAGTTTTGAAGGTTCTCATTATCCATCCTGTCATTTTTCTAGCAGATGTGATTGATACAATGTTATGGTCCTTGAAGATGAGATCCTCCGACATGATCACTCCCAGGTCTTTGACGTTGGTGTTTTGCTCTATTTTGTGGCCAGAATTTGTTTTGTACTCTGATGAAGATTTAATTTCCTCGTGTTTACCATATCTGAGTAATTGAAATTTCTCATCGTTGAACTTCATATTGTTTTCTGCAGCCCACTGAAAGATTTGGTTGATGTCCGCCTGGAGCCTTGCAGTGTCTGCAATGGAAGACACTGTCATGCAGATTCGGGTGTCATCTGCAAAGGAAGACACGGTGCTGTGGCTGACATCCTTGTCTATGTCGGATATGAGGATGAGGAACAAGATGGGAGCGAGTACTGTGCCTTGTGGAACAGAGCTTTTCACCGTAGCTGCCTCGGACTTTACTCTGTTGACGACTACTCTCTGTGTTCTGTTAGTGAGGAAATTATAGATCCATCGACCGACTTTTCCTGTTATTCCTTTAGCACGCATTTTGTGCGCTATTACGCCATGGTCACACTTGTCGAAGGCTTTTGCAAAGTCTGTATATATTATATCTGCATTCTTTTTGTCTTCTAGTGCATCTAGGACCTTGTTGTAGTGATCCAGTAGTTGAGACAGACAGGAGCGACCTGTTCTAAACCCATGTTGCCCTGGGTTGTGTAACTGATGGGTTTCTATATGGGTGGTGATCTTGCTTCTTAGGACCCTTTCAAAGATTTTTATGATATGGGATGTTAGTGCTATTGGTCTGTAGTTCTTTGCTGTTGCTTTACTGCCCCCTTTGTGGAGTGGGGCTATGTCTGTTGTTTTTAGTAACTGGGACAACCCCCGTGTCCATGCTCCCTCTCCATTGGATGGAAAAGGCTCGTGATAGGGGCTTCTTGCAGTTCTTGATGAACACGGAGTTCCATGAGTCTGGCCCTGGGGCAGAGTGCATGGGCATGTCATTTATCGCCTGTTCGAAGTCATTTGGCATCAGGATAACATCGGATAGGCTTGTGTTGGCCAAATTCTTTGGCTCTCTCATAAAAAATTAATTTTGATCTTCGACTCTCAGTCTGGTTAGCGGCTTGCTAAAAACTGAGTCATATTGGGACTTAAGTAGCTCACTCATTTCCTTTCTGTCATCTGTGTAGGACCCATCTTGTTTAAGTAGGGGCCCAATACTGGACGTTGTTCTAGACTTTGATTTGGCATAGGAGAAGAAAAAAAGGATAGTATAGTATTGAGTTTAGTTATTGATCTGAGCTGATCAATAATTTATTCCCAAAAATAACTTAGGTGGGTTAATTTTGTGGAAATAAAAAATATACCTTGACCTCAGGAGACCCAGTAGATACACGACTGTGTATCTGATTACTTTCTCATAATGCATTATTTTTGACAACTGTTACAGGCTAGAGTCCGTGACCTTCACTTGCTGGTTTAGCGCTTAGTTTTGATTATAATAATAATGTGACCTTCACAGCCAATGATAACATGGGAAAGTTATATTAAATAAAATCACAAAAAAACAGTAGCTGGAGAATTTATTTAGACAAATAACATCATTGAAGGGAATACTGTGTATTAATGTATATTTTGTGTATGCATTGATTAAAAGAATCAATCTCAACTCAGGTTCTGCAAGTGACAGAGTTGATGGCTGCTTCCATGGCACGAGTGTTCTCATTGACTCTCTCTTCTGCCAAGTGCATAAAGGTGCCTTCATTGGCACTGATGATGGCACTCACAAGCGGGGCTCCCTGCAGGTTACACTAGAAAGAAGACTCAAAATTATCACTAGAATATTATATATATATATATATATATATATATATATATATATATATGTCATATATATATATATATATGACAGGGTGGATAGGGGGGCAATGTGGCAGATGTTGCAAGTGTATGGTGTAGGAGGTAGGTTACTGAAAGCAGTGAAGAGTTTTTACGAGGATAGTGAGGCTCAAGTTAGAGTATGTAGGAAAGAGGGAAATTTTTTCCCAGTAAAAGTAGGCCTTAGACAAGGATGTGTGATGTCACCGTGGTTGTTTAATATATTTATAGATGGGTTGTAAGAGAAGTAAATGCGAGGGTCTTGGCAAGAGGCGTGGAGTTAAAAGATAAAGAATCACACACAAAGTGGGAGTTGTCACAGCTGCTCTTTGCTGATGACACTGTGCTCTTGGGAGATTCTGAAGAGAAGTTGCAGAGATTGGTGGATGAATTTGGTAGGGTGTGCAAAAGAAGAAAATTAAAGGTGAATACAGGAAAGAGTAAGGTTATGAGGATAACAAAAAGATTAGGTGATGAAAGATTGAATATCAGATTGGAGGGAGAGAGTATGGAGGAGGTGAACGTATTCAGATATTTGGGAGTGGACGTGTCAGCGGATGGGTCTATGAAAGATGAGGTGAATCATAGAATTGATGAGGGAAAAAGAGTGAGTGGTGCACTTAGGAGTCTGTGGAGACAAAGAACTTTGTCCTTGGAGGCAAAGAGGGGAATGTATGAGAGTATAGTTTTACCAACGCTCTTATATGGGTGTGAAGCGTGGGTGATGAATGTTGCAGCGAGGAGAAGGCTGGAGGCAGTGGAGATGTCATGTCTGAGGGCAATGTGTGGTGTGAATATAATGCAGAGAATTCGTAGTTTGGAAGTTAGGAGGAGGTGCGGGATTACCAAAACTGTTGTCCAGAGGGCTGAGGAAGGGTTGTTGAGGTGGTTCGGACATGTAGAGAGAATGGAGCGAAACAGAATGACTTCAAGAGTGTATCAGTCTGTAGTGGAAGGAAGGCGGGGTAGGGGTCGGCCTAGGAAGGGTTGGAGGGAGGGGGTAAAGGAGGTTTTGTGTGCGAGGGGCTTGGACTTCCAGCAGGCATGCGTGAGCGTGTTTGATAGGAGTGAATGGAGACAAATGGTTTTTAATACTTGACGTGCTGTTGGAGTGTGAGCAAAGTAACATTTATGAAGGGATTCAGGGAAACCGGCAGGCCGGACTTGAGTCCTGGAGATGGGAAGTACAGTGCCTGCACTCTGAAGGAGGGTGTTAATGTTGCAGTTTAAAAACTGTACTGTAAAGCATCCTTCTGGCAAGACAGTGATGGAGTGAATGATGGTGAAAGTTTTTCTTTTTCGGGCCACCCTGCCTTGGTGGGAATCGGCCGGTGTGATAATAAAAAAAAAAAAAAAAAAAAAAAATAATAATAATATATATATATATATTATATATATATATATATATATATATATATATATATATATATATATATATATATATATATATATATATATACCCAATTTTGTTCAGTAAAAGAAAATAAATATTTTTTTAGGTAAATGGACACAAATGCAACTACTGTCACAGTTTTGTCAAGCAATTACAAACTATTATATTAATAATTGAATACTTACAGTGATGGAATCAACATCCAGTTTCAAGACGAGAGAATTAGTCTTAATACAGAATGACATAGGTAAGAGTGTGTACTTGGCTGCCCGGAAGAACACTTTGATAGTGAACTTCTCCATTGTCAAGCTGTTGACAAGAAGAAACATTATATTGGGTCTACTGGCATAAGCTTGGCAGGCTCTCACACCCCACCCATATTTTTGTCTAACTCTCCTTTTATCATTTATAAAATACTACATATTAACATAGGCAAGTGGTTAAATTTTGATTCTCAATATACTGGTATACATAACTGACAAATAAGTAAGTGGAAATTATTTATATTTCCTCGAATACAGAGGCAGGAAAAGCATTAGAGAGGTAAATATGATGTGGAGTCCCATCAACCACAAGAAGGTTGACAGACACCAAGGTTGATGGACTGTCTTTACCTCTGCACTCTTCCTGTTATATTTGACTAAATATACAGATGAAGACGTTTAGCCTACATGTGTCTTATTCATCTAAATCATTTCTCCAAACAATATAGTTAAGTGACTTACTCTGCCCTGCCTGAGGCAGACATGTGATATCCTCTGTACATGCCATGGAGTGAGTAGTCTTCAGTGTAAAAGTGCATATTCTCTATCATCCCTTCTATCTTCACCTAACAAAAACACACATTAGTTAATAAGGGAAGATTATTAGATTATATGCATATTAGAAGTGTTAGTAACATAATTCACAATGTAAATAGTCATAGGCACTATGGAACCATTCTTCTCTGGTAGTAACCAAAGTTTTTGTTTTCCTATATAATGTAATTTGATACAGTAATAAACCTCCTACTACTATTCATTTAATAAATATGGTAGCAATGGAAATATAAACACATATGTGATCCTTTATTGACCAAGGGATTATGTATATGACTTACGAAATCGTAATGACACGATTGCAAACAAACCATACCATGGGCGGGATTTGAACCCGCGGTCAGAGAGTCTCAAAACTCCAGACCGTCGCGTTAGCCACTAGACCAGCTAGCCACAATAAGATTCGTCCAACTAGGTATATTTCTACACCATAGGAAGGTTAGCATAGGCACCACTCTGACCACAAATGCAAGTTTCTACAGACGAATCTCCAGCTAGCGTGGCCGTGACGAACTCTAGCTAACTCGACGGTCTGGAGTTTTGAGACTCTCTGACCGCGGGTTCAATCCCGCCCGTGGTATGATTATGTATGGTATAAACCTTGGTAATAAATACCGACAAGTTGGTTTAGAAAGACACGTAAGCAAACACTATAACATATTTATTAGAAAACGTTTCGGTCCTGGGACCTTGATCACTTCAAGGTCCCAGGACTGAAACGTTTTCTAATAAATATGTTATAGTGTTTGCTTACGTGTCTTTCTAAACTATGATTATATATACCCCTGCAGAGGATGGCAGATATATACCCCTGCAGAGGATGGCAGCAGTCAGTAAGCTGACGCATTTATTCTGGGCTCAGAAACCTAACATGAATATCTAAACTTTTATGTAGTGTTAGAAAGTTTGTTAAAGTATCAAATTATATACTAAAGTAATTAAGGAGCTTAGTTGCTGATTATCAAGGTTGTGAAGGGCGGGGGCCTAAACCGACAGATATTACTCACAGCGTCAGAGATGAGGGGTAATGGAGGCACAAACTTAGTTATATAAGCCTTGTCGAAGCCGGTCAATATAGTGTTGTTGGCGCTGAACAATAAACTGTGGACAGACAATTATAAGATTAGAAGAATGCTAGAGTAGGTCTACTGGCCTATGATAGGCAAGTCTTCCTCACACTCACACCGTTCTTACTGATAGACATCAGTTATACATGTGTCTTATGCTTTAACTTGTAGTATTATAGATAATTTTAACATCACTATCCTTCGACCACTTGTGTGTGACTTTAATTCATGTCTGCATAAATAACTCGTTAAAACTGTAACATTGTAACTTGCTTAGCTATCAAAACTTTGCGGTCCAGTCCCTAGGTCCATTATGTACCTCTGTAATCTGGAATCATCACTTATCTGTATATCCAACAACTTCAACCAAAATAACGGCTTCTGTAACATAGCTGAAGCCCTTGTCAAGAAACTTCTTCATCGTTATCCCATATACTTGTCCAATCTCTTTTCAAGCTACCCAGGGTCCTAGCCTCTATCACCCTACTCGGAAGATTGTCACATGCAGGTTCAGATCCAACCTACCAACATTCTCCACCTGACTCCATCCTATAAATACTCATGACTACCTTCTAGGGCAGGGTTGGTGCCTGAGCCCGAGCTTGTAGCTCACAAGATGAGGGGGTACTTGTGCCTCCTCCCATGGCAGACTTATGTCTCAGACACTCCCTAGACAGGGAGCCAAGGCCGGGCCACCACTTGGAAAAGGCCCGGGCCGGGAGAATACCCGCGAATCTTTAATAACAGCACCCAGGTAGATCTGTTTGTCAATAAACAATCACATTATACTGCTTATGTGCTCATTTTTTCACCTCTGTAATCTTTTGACAAACTACCAGAGAAACCATAATGTGGTACCTGATAAAATATGTACTGGCGTTAAGGGCGGGAATGGTAGGGATGGTGTAGGGATGGTGGTCCTTAAGTTTATCTTGTAGTAATGTGGTCACTTCCCTCTCAAACACACCCGCTGAAAAAAAATAAAAACTCTTAATCTAACGTGATGAACATTCAACAGTGTTCAAGTAAATGAAAATACACTATACATATATCACTTTGTAGATAAATGGTTCAGAGAACCAACAGGATGGTGACTTAAGACACATGTGCAACATTTGGGTATCTTTATTGTGGAAACGTTTCACCAGTCAGTGGCTTCTTCAGTCCAGTACAGAGAAAGTCAATCTTGACTTCTACTGATGGACCGATCACATCATCTCCAGGCTGAGGGACTAATTACCTCATCTTCCACCTTTCTTTGCATCAGACTGAAGAAGCCACTGGCTGCCGAAACTTTTTCACAACACCCAAATGTTGCACAAGTGTGATGAATGGTTTGAAAAACCGACACATATGTTGCATAAGTGTCTAATTCATCATATATTACCTTAAGGAATATTGTTGGACTTACAGGTGTAGGAAGGCACTTGGGAGAGCAGGAAGGCGACTGTGAAAACTGTTGCGACTCTAAACATGGCGGATGTCTAGATGACTCAGAGCTCAGCAACTGTATGTAAATGATAGATATTATGAGCAGTGATAAATAGCAACACCAGCTTCATCTATGACATAAAACTACACACTGCTCACACACTGAGGTCCGGGGATCGGTCCCTCGGTACGACTGGAAAACATTAGGACGTTACCACATGTGTTTGCATATGTGTCTTAACTTCACTCTTTGTTGATACTTGTCTCAGTAATACATTAAAGTATTTGGTGATATTTACATCTGTAGATCTGTTATAGCCGCTGTTAATGAGGTAATAACTGTAACTAAGGAACTACTGCCTTTTATACCAGTCATTTTATGCTAAGCACTGTAGTAGTGATAGTGGTAGTGGTAGTAGTAGTAGTAGTAAAAGGTGGTGGTGGTAGTAGTAATAGTGAACATCAAAATGGTATACAATACCGACAGGTTGGTAGGTAAGACACATAGGCAACAGTTAGGCAACTTTATTCCGAAACGTTTCGCCTACACAGTAGGCTTCTTCAGTCGAATACAGAAAGTAGGCAGGAACAGTAGATGTGATGAATGGTTTGAAAAACCGACAAGTTGAAGATTGAGACACTTATGCAGCATATGGGAATCTTTATTCAGGAAACGTTTCGCCACACAGTGGCTTCATCAGTCCAATACAAAGAGACAGGCGTAAGGAGAGGAGTATGAGGTAATCAGTCCCTCAGCCTGGAGTCGATGTGTTCAGTCCATCAATCTTGTAGAATGTACAGCATAGGGCCGTAGACGTGGCTTATATACTGTAGTGAGGTATATACGTTTCCTGAACAAAGATTCCCATATGCTGCATAAGTGTCTCAATCTTCAACTTGTCGGTTTTTCAAACCATTCATCACAACTGTCAGACACTGCAGCATCATGGGATCTTGTTACAAAGAATTCTTCAACACTTGTTCAACCTTTGGACGAAGACCTACTTCGACTAGTGGATGGTACCACTATGACCCCGCCTCCGCCTGCTTCACCTCACCTCACTACAGTATAAAAGCCACGTCTACGGCCCTATGCTGTACATTCTACAAGATTGATGGACTGAGCACATCGACTCAAGGCTGAGGGACTGATTACCTCATACTCCTCCTCTCCTTACGCCTTCCTCTTTGTATTGGACTGATGAAGCCACTGTGTGGCGATACGTTTCCTGAATAAAGATTCCCATATGCTGCATAAGTGTCTCAATCAGGAACAGTAGAGATGTGAAGACGATGTAATCAGTCCATCACCCTTGAAGTCGTAGAATTTGAGGTTGTCAGTCCCTCAGCCTGGAGAAGTTCAGTTCCATAGTCAGGAACTATCTGAAGATCAAGCAACAGTGCGAAGACTTAAATACTGTCGGAAGGAGAGGTGCAGAGTAGTAGTAGTAGTAGTAGTGAGAATGTAGCCACTGAGAGGTCGGGTCCCTCTCAGATCCAACAGTTCTCACTTGAAAGGGTTGTCCATGGTGTTTTCTGTACCAAGAGGCCATGTGACACGTTTCCTTACACCTGTTGTCCTGTTCACCTAGCAGCAAATAGGTACCTGGGTGTTAGTCGACTGGTGTGGGTCGCATCCTGGGGGACAAGATTAAGGACCCCAATGGAAATAAGTTATGATGAATGGTTTGAAAAACCGACAAGTTGAAGATTGAGACACTTATGCAGCATATGGGAATCTTTATTCAGGAAACGTTTCGCCACACAGTTACTTCATCAGTCCAATACAAAGAGGAAGGCGTAAGGAGAGGAGGAGTATGAGGTAATAAGAACATAAGAACATAAGAACGAAGGAACACTGCAGAAGGCCTACTGGCCCATGCGAGGCAGGTCCAAGTCTCCTACCGGCTTAAGCCAATGCACCCAACCTAGTCAGGTCAGGTCACATTGACTTAAGGGAGGAACACGGCAACCGACCTGGTAGCACAAGCTATCACACCCACCCACATCTACTCATGTATTTATCCAACCTATTTTTAAAGCTACACAACGTTCTAGCCTCTATAACGGTACTTGGGAGTTTGTTCCACTCATCCACAACTCTATTACCAAATCAGTCCCTCAGCCTGGAGTCGATGTGTTCAGTCCATCAATCGTACATTCTACAAGATTGATGGACTGAACACATCGACTCCAGGCTGAGGGACTGATTACCTCATACTCCTCCTCTCCTTACGCCTTCCTCTTTGTATTGGACTGATGAAGCCACTGTGTGGCGAAACGTTTCCTGAATAAAGATTCCCATATGCTGCATAAGTGTCTCAATCCGGAAATAAGTTAGACAGTGAACATTAAAATGGTATAAAATACCGACAGATTGTTAGGTAAGACACATATGCAACAGTTAGGATGAACATTAAAATGGTATGAAATACCGACAGATTGTTAGGTAAGACACATATGCAACAGTTAGGTATGTTAGGTAAGACACATATGCAACAGTTAGACAACTATATTCCGAAACGTTTCGCCTACACAGTAGGCTTCTTCAGTCGAATACAGAAAGTAGGCAGGAACAGTAGAGATGTGAAGACGATGTAATCAGTCCATCACCCTTAAAGTCGTAGAATTTGAGGTTGTCAGTCCCTCGGCCTGGAGAAGTTCAGTTCCATAGTCAGTTCCTGTGAACACTAACTCCAAGGCCGAGGGACTGATTACCTCATCTTTTGTATATAGTTCTACTGTCTTCCTATTATGTCCTAGAATCTGTATTGATAAAGCCACTGGATGGCGAAACGTCTACTACAATAAAGATATCCAGATGTTGCACATGTGTCTTAACTTTCATATTGTCGGTATTTTATACCTTTCTTTGCACAACATAGGCAACAGTTAGGCAACTTTATTCCGAAACGTTTCGCCTACACAGTAGGTTTCTTCAGTCGAATACAGAAAGTAGGCAGGAACATGGTACAGAAAACACCATGGACAACCCTTTCAAGTGAGAACTGTTGGATTTGAGAGGGACCCGACCTCTCAGTGGCTACATTCTCACTACTACTACTACTTGAAGATTGAGACACTTATGCAGCATATGGGAATCTTTATTCAGGAAACGTTTCGCCACACAGTGGCTTCATCAGTCCAATACAAAGAGGAAGGCATAAGGAGAGGAGGAGTATGAGGTAATCAGTCCCTCAGCCTGGAGTCGATGTGTTCAGTCCATCAATCTTGTAGAATGTACAGCATAGGGCCGTAGACGTGGCTTATATACTGTAGTGAGGTGACTTAAAGCAGACGGAGGCGGGATCATAGTGGTACCATCCACTAGTCGAAGTAGGTCTTTGTCCAAAGGTTGAACAAGCGTTGAAGAATTCTTTGTAAGAAGATCCCATGATGCTGCAGTGTCTGACAGTTGTGATGAATGGTTTGAAAAACCATTTGGACAAAGACCTACTTCGACTAGTGGATGGTACCACTATGATCCCGCCTCCGTCTGCTTTAAGTCACCTCACTACAGTATATAAGCCACGTCTACGGCCCTATGCTGTACATTCTACAAGATTGATGGACTGAACACATCGACTCCAGGCTGAGGGACTGATTACCTCATACTCCTCCTCTCCTTATGCCTTCCTCTTTGTATTGGACTGATGAAGCCACTGTGTGGCGAAACGTTTCCTGAATAAAGATTCCCATATGCTGCATAAGTGTCTCAATCTTCAACTTGTCGGTTTTTCAAACCATTCATCACTACTACTACTACTCTGCACCTCTCCTTCCGTCGCTTGATCTTCAGATAGTTCCTGACTATGGAACTGAACTTCTCCAGGCTGAGGGACTAACAACCTCAAATTCTACGACTTCAAGGGTGATGGACTGATTACATCGTCTTCACATCTCTACTGTTCCTGCCTACTTTCTGTATTCGACTGAAGAAGCCTACTGTGTAGGCGAAACGTTTCGGAATAAAGTTGCCTAAATGTTGCCTATGTGTCTTACCTACCAACCTGTCGGTATTGTATACCATTTTGATGTTCACATTGAACTTTATCTGCCATTTTTCAGACCAAGACATTAATTTGTCCAAATCGTCCTGGAGTTCATTGATATCCTCCTCAGAGTGAATTATGCGGCCTATCTTTGTATCATCAGCAAATTTACTCATGTCACTCGTAATCCCTTCATCAAGGTCATTAATGTAAATTATGAACAAGAGAGGGCCTAAAACTGATCCTTGTGGAACGCCACTAGTGACTAATCCCCATTCAGATTTCACTCCATTAATGGTAACTCTCTGCTTTCTATTGGTAAGCCATGCCTCAATCCATGCTAGAACTTTACCTCCTATACCATGAGCTGCCACTTTTCTTAAGAGTCTCTTGTGAGGTACTCTGTCGAAGGCTTTACTAAAATCCAAATAAACAATATCATATTCCTTATCACTGTCAACTGCCTCAAATGTTCTATTGAAGAACGTCAGTAAGTTTGTCAGGCAGGAACGACCTCTCGTGAATCCATGCTGAGATTCATTTATCAAGTTATGCTCTTCAAGGTGACTTCTGATAATGTCAGCTATAATTGATTCTAATAACTTGCCCACTATAGATATCAGGCTTATTGGACGGTAATTTGAAGGTGTGGACTTATCCCCTGATTTGAATATAGGAACCACATTAGCCATCTTCCACAACTCTGGCACAACACCGGTAAGGATGGACGCATTGAATACACTCGTTAATGGCTGACTAAGCTCCATCTTGCATTCCTTAAGTACCCTGCAAAACAATTCATCGGGTCCCGGGGACTTATTTTGTTTCAGTTTGTCTATCTGTTTAATAACCATGTCCCTCGTGACAGTAATATTAGTTAACTTAAATTCATCAGGAACTAAATAATTGTTAATTACTGGAATCTCATTTACATTTTCCTGTGTAAAAACTGACAAAAAATAGTTATTAAATAAGGAACACATTTCCAGTTGAACATCAAAATGGTATACAATACCGACAGGTTGTTAGGTAAGACACATATGCAACAGTTAGACACCTTTATTCCTGCCTACTTTCTGTATTC